CCAGAAGTCCAAGTGGTGAAAAGACTCTGTAATTGTAAACTAATACAACCTTCACAGAACCTATCAGAGTATCTTGTTGAATTACACTTGTTACATTCTTTCGGTTTTCCTTCTTTATATATTGCATCCTGTAATTCAGACTCATAAATAAACTGTTTCTTACAATATTCTTTTTCATTTTCAGAAAGCTCCTTGTTTTTTTTGACCAATGAAAGAAAATAATCTTTTATACTTTCTCTATCAGGATAATTAGCATTAGCATTATTAAACATTTCACTACAAATTTTATATACAAGTCTCTTTCTTACTGATGATAACGATGATAATAATTTATAATGTGACATTATGTAAAAATATAAAATATAAATTTTGACTATGTTTTAATGTGGGAGATTTTTTTTTTTTTTTGAGTGTAACAGTTACATTATTTCCTTTTCTTTGCGACAATCGATTTATCTCGTGCGTGATTCAACAATAAAAGAAATTCTTTGGAGATGAAGATAGAAAACAAGATTAAAACTTACAAAAATATGTACAAAAACCTGACTTATGTGCTATGTAAAGGTCGTTCGTTCCAAGTACCAATATTGATCAACCTATGTTGCTTCAAACTCAGACACCCAAGAACATTATTAATATTATTATTACGTGTAGTTCTGTAGTTAACTTCAAAGTCAAAAATTCGAAAAAACATCAATTTAACACAAGTCATATGCATGTAAAGACAATTTGACTTTATGAAATGTAATAATAAAGGAATAGCCTTAATTTGTAAAAGGAAGAGGCATTTTTATTTTGAAAGAAAATATACGGAAAAAATTAGTTTAATTAATTCAAATTATAACATTGGTAAACTTCCCATGATAATTAACAGTTAAACCCTGGGTAGACGGGTATTATCTCAGTGGTTTAACTGATTTATCCCCCACCATTTGTGCCATTTTTATGTGTAACTTTTTCCACCATCAAGAAGATTTGTTGGGTGGTTAATAAATTAATTTATTCTTTTCTAAAATTTGTATATTTCATCTCGCCTTGCGGAATGTTACTACTACTAAAAAACTATTACACATTCTGAATTTACAAAATAACATTGGTAATTTTAATTTTTAAAAATGGGGAGATTTGGTAATATATATTTTTATATTTATTATAGGAACCTAAGTTGAACATAACTTTACATTGTTCTATTACTGGACTTAATTGTTATATATCACAAATTGAAAATCAAAGGGTCACTGTAGCTAAACTTACTCTTCCAGATATTTTGAACAATGATTCAAATCAGCAAATGTTACAAGCGAAACCCACCCAGTTACTACTGAAACAGATAATAAATGTGACTTGATGTAATGATCAAGATGCAATTTCCAGTGTTGATGATTCTAGTATTTCTAGTGATGCTTTTGATTCAAATAAAAGTGTTGATCCATATCATGCATTCAATGATATTTCCAATATTACATTACCACTTAAAAGATCAAACAATTTCCGCTATGCTCAATAGTACATGATATAGGTTTAGGCGCAGGTGTTTGTAAGTATTAATTTGAAGTTTTAAAATCGATGAAAATAGTAAACTGAGTCCTTTTATTGTTGAATCACGATAAATCAAATCATTAGAGTTTGGTGATTTCAATAAGGCTGTCAAAAAACCTCTATAACAAAAAGTTAAAAAATGGGAATTATTATTATCATCACTTGCAAGAAAATTGTTTGTTACACACCCTGCAAAAAAAAATTATTATTCCCTCCACTATTACTACTATTCATTAAATAAAATCATTTATTTTATATAATGTCATATTACAAATTATTATCATCATTATCACCAGAAAGAAAGGAATTTGTATATAAAATCAATAATGAAATGTATGATAATGCTCTAGTTAATCCTAACGAAGAAGAATTTTTTTTTTCATTAGTCCAAAAAAACAAGGAGCTTACTGAAATTGAAAAAGAATATTGTAAAGAAAGGTTTATTTACGAGTCTGGATTAATAATTGCAAGAGATAAAAGAGGAAAACCAAAAGAATGTAATAAGTGTAAATTGACAAGATATTCTGATAGATTCTGCGAGAATTGTATTAGATTACAATTACAAAGCACCACTTGGACATCTGGAAATAATATAATTGATAACTTTATTCAACAATGTCAAATGAAATCATCTCTGCCAAACTATATTTTAGAATGGATACCTTTTGA